CCTTGAGATTCTGAATCCCCAGTGATGGCTGCTGCTTTTATTACAGGCTGCTTAGCAGGGCACTTCTGCAGACGCTTTTGTGTGAGTTTGCTTTTCTTTTACCAAGGGGGAAAAACATTAATTGAAGGCTTTTTAATTGCTGCATTTTTCTTTTCCATTGATAATCTGGCACTTTTCAATTTGATTTGCATTGATTTTAAAGCAAATAAACTGCCCTCTCCACTCTGAAAAAGAGTCACCTTGACTTAATCCACTCACACATCTTTCCATTGATGTTTACCAAAGTAAGACTTCTTTTTAAAAGAATATTATTACCGAAACCTTTCATCATGAGGCTCCTTTGCTACCAAGAAAATTTATATGCTTGCTCATCTATTAATCTTTGTGTTTATTACTTATATTTCTGTCCCACTAAATTCTGGAGAAAATTTGAAGTGACTCCTGGATTTCTCTTCCTCTGGCTTTTGCTAATGAATCTTCCAGGGACTACTTCCTGAACTCTACCTGTCTCTTATGTATATGTAGCCTAGGAACAAATAATAGAGTTATGTCCCTTCTACCCAAGGTAGGAAGAGATGAATTGGTATCTTTAATCCGCACTTTAGCTTCTGAACTGGGGAAATGCAGCCAGCAGAAGCAGGGGATCAGCCAAGCAGAGTGGCTGACACCTGTCCTCCCAACATTTTGGGAGGCCGAAGTGGATGGATCATTTGAGGCCAGGAGTTCAAGACCAGCCTAGCTAACATGGTGAAACCCCATCTCTACTAAAAAATACAAAAATTAGCCGGGTGTGGTGTCATGTGCCTGTAGTCCCAGCTCCTCGAGAAGTTGAGGCATGAGAATCACTTGAACATGGGAGGTGGAGGTTGCAGTGAGCTGAGATTGTGCTGCTTTACTCCAGCGACAGAATGAGACTCTTGTCTCACAAAAAAAAAAAAAAAGCAGGGAATCATTTAATTATTAGCATATTTTGGTTGGCAAAAGAGTTGTAGTCTCACCTGCTATGTTCCAAGTCAAGAGGAAGCTAAGGACCCACATTCAAAAGGGACAGTTCACAAAACAGACTTGCCAGAAGGCAAGACCCTTGTTTCTCCATTTGTGAGGCACCACCTTTAGAGCCAGCTCTATGATAGGTGAGTTATGGAGTGACACTCCTCACCATCCAAGCCAACCATCTGGCCTCCTTCATGAGAATCAAATCCTACCAAGAAGCAAAAGCCAAAACAAAAAAATGCATGGACAAAAAACCTATGTTCCTATGTAAAGAAAGACCAAGCTGAATTTTTAAATCAATTGTTATTTTCCCATCACATTGCTAAGCAGATTTCACTTGAGAAAGTCTATAGCACTGGTCTCGCTGCAGTTGGCCCCTCAGAATCAGGAGCTCCAAGCCGCCTCCCATCCATCCTCTCTTCTTGCTTCCCCTCAGGAGCTCCACAGGGCAAAGCTCACCAAACACGTTAGTGTGCACTGAAAATCTCTCAACCCAAGGTTATGGCCCACTTTTCAGCTATTTTTTTTTTTTCAGTATAATAAAACTGCCTTCCAGACATTTGGAACAGTCCCTCGAATCATAATGGGACTTCACTTGTTGATCCCACAAATGATTTGCTCAGAGCCTGTTTTGTGAATTGCACAGTGAAGGAGCAGCAAGAGAGACAAGATGAGACACCGATCTCTGTTTCTGTCAGGAACATCATGGTGTTGGGGAAGAGGAACATGTTCCTTTTTCCCTCTCACTCTACAAAGGGAACCACTGAGGGTGTGAACCAGCAAGAGAAGTTCCAGCTGGACCTAGAGAGAAATGGAGCTGGAGGGGATTTGGGTGTGGGGCAGCAAGGAGTGGACCTGTAACTTAGAGGAATTCTGTGACTAATTTTACTCTCTGCAGACTTAGATATTCAGAGTCCTTTCCTTATAGTGGAAAATGTTTCCTGGGTACCATTTTCCTAGAGAGAATACCATTTTAGTTTTCTGTTTTATTATGTTCTTATTTTGGATAGAATTTGTTTCATAGTATAAGTTTATTGGGTCCACTCTAAAGAAAGGTGCTCAAATTATATGTATTGTAATTCAAACCATTCAATGCACAGCTCCATGTTCCTTTCCAAATACCAGGTGGCATCCAGTTGGCCCTATGAGCCACTCCAAATAGCAGATCTCTCTTTCTGTTGTGAAAGTGGAGTAATCTCAGGAGATTGATGTCACTGAATGTCTCCAAGCATCGCTGTCAAGTATGTACATTCAAAACTTCACCATTTCATTTTATCAATCTTCAGAACTTATTGAGTCACTTGTGTGTTTCTTCTCTTCAGAAATACTATGCACTCTTCCTGCAGTGCTCTTTTATTTCGAAGACCCCATTGCAGGCCACCTAGGAGTCAGGGGAAAAGCCTTCCCATAATGAACCAGTGTGAGCAATGCAGGGAAAATATGGTGCAGAGCTGACCGAAAAGCAAGTTCTAGTTTTCTTACTTCTAAAGGATTATATCAATCAGGTTTAAAATAATGGAAAGTATCTGGTCTCTCTGTGTGTGGAAGCAGAAAGGTGACTGCCACCAATGAGGCAAAGTTATACAGACTAGGTGTATTATGAAACACTTGAAATGCTATGTACATAACAAGGTTAGAGTACTTGGCCCTTAGGAACAAAATGCAACTCATATATTGGCACTGGGATTCCAGGTTTGAATGGAAACAGCCAAGAAACCATGTCAAACACACAGCCCAACTATTATTTCTTGCTATTATCACGAGCTTTTTCTGATTCTCCTTTTTTTTTTTTTTTTTTTTGCAATGCTACCAAGAAGTAGAAGAGTGAAATTTGAGCAAGGTAGGTGATGATTAGCCAGGGAGACTTCTGGGTAATTATCAGTAAGATTATTCAGCAAGAAGTACCTAAAGACAGAATTGGACCATTATGAGAAAGTAGTACAGAATTGATGTCATACACACACACACACACACACACACCCCGTCAAATCCAGTTCCCCATCTTGTGCCCAACTCATGAAAATTCCAAAGAGCTTTATTCAATCAATTTATTGACTTGGGGGTCCCAATCAAATCCCACTGTAGGTGATGCTGTTTCACCTAATTAAGGCCCATGGTTCAGTAGAGTCAGTAGAGAAGAAATTCCAAGTCCTTGCACTTGGCAAAGTGTTTGTTATTGAAGGATTCCTGAGTTTGCCAAATTCCACTAGGCATGAAGGGACTCAAAAAGGGAATCATTCTCCTTTCCACTTGCAATTTGTTCATTTTGTAGTGAGCAAGCGCAAAGGCTTTTCTTTCTTTTCCTTTCTTTTCTTTCTTTCTTTTCTTTCTTTCTTTCCTTTCTTTCTTTCTCCCTTTTTCCCTTTCTCTCTTTTCTTTCTTTTCTTTTCTTTCTTTTCTTTCTTTTCTTTCTTTCTTTCTTTCCTTTCTTTCCTTCTTTCTTTCTTTCTTTCTTTCTTTCTTTCTTTCTTTCTTTCTTTCTTTCTTTCTTTCTTTCTTTCTTTTCTTTCTCTCTTTCTTTCTTTCTCTCTCTCTCTCTCTCTTCTTTTTTTCTAAAGGTTTGTTTTTTCGCCTGAGAATCCAGAACTTAATCATGTAGCCATTTTACAAAAAAACTATGTCTACATCTGACATTACAACAGAATTAGGCCACAGGCAGGCGCCCTGGTGGCTCACACATATAATCCCAGCACTTTGAGAGGCCCAGGCGGGCAGATCACTTGAGGCCAGGCATTCAAGACCAGTTTGGCCAACATAGCAAAACCCTGTCTCTACTAAAACTACAGAAAACTTAGCGGGGTACAGCGATCATGCCTATAATCCCAACACTTTGAAAGACCGAGGCAGGCGAATCACTTGAGGCCAGGAGTTCAAGACCAGCTTGGCCAACATGGCAAATCGCCTTCTCTACTAAAACTGCAGAAAACTTAGCCGGGTGTGGTGACCAAGGCCTGTAATCCCAGCTACCCAGGAGGCTGAGGCAGGAAAATTGCTTGAACCGAGGAGGCAGAGGTTGCAGTGAGCTGAGATCGTGCCACTGCACTCCAGCCTGGGCAACAGAGTGACACTCCGTCTCAAAAAATAAAATAAAATAAAATAAAATAAAGTAAAATAAAATAAAATAAAATAAACACAACGTGGTTGGGTCACATAATTCTAACTGGTTTCTGATCCAGAATGTTAGCTTGTGAGCCACTATTTTGTATTGCTGTTCTTCATATTCGTTAGTGTATTAACACTTGAATCCAATACTTAAAATAATAAAGATAATCACTAACAGCAATGTTGTGCCTGATTTTGTTGCAGTGTCATTAGAATTCTGTTGTGATGTTTACCTCTCATTTTTCCTTAAGAAACTGGGTTACTTCCTCCGAGCCCCACGGGGAAGTCAGAAAGCCAACGTTGGAGATAACGTGGCAATGCATTTTAAGAAGAATCAGCTCCTAAGAAGTGGGGAGAAAATATATTATCGGACTTTGCAGACGTAAACACGCCCCAGCAGGTTGGAGCCTGCGAGGAGTAAGGTTTCCCTGATCGCGGGTCCCCCTCCAGCCCGCCCCTCGCGCTGGCGTCCATTGCACGACGCCCTGTCGCCGCCGCTCCCAGGGGAGCCGGGCCCTCGCGCTCCCACCAGGATGGGACAGGATATGACAGCCCGGTTTGTGCACCAGCATCCTTAATATTTCCTTCCTTTCAGAAGCAAATAGAGCGTTCCCTTATCTGAATGCTAATTTCCTAGTTAAAAACCCTCCCTTGCTGACAAGGGACTGAAAGAGTTTTAAATCACAGATGTAGAGTATCAAATGCAATAATGCTCTTGCAATAGTGCATTGAAGCCTCAATTAATTAACCCTTGGGCTAAGTAGGCAGGTACATGGCGGTGGCCGCAGGCGGTGGATGGATGAGATTTAAATGTGCATCTCATTTCCCCAGCACGGAGCATGCCGTTTGGTTCAGAAAGGAGTCATTTTGCACACTCGCCTCATTTACTCGCTGCTTTAATCCTCCTAATTCCACCTGAGATCAGGGGAGAATTGAAAAAGGAAGGCGAGGAGCAGGGGTTGCGGGCCGGGCTTTTGTTGCGCGCGGTCCCCGGGGACCGCGCAGCTCCGGGCCGCGCCGGGGCTCTCGCCTTCCGAGCGGGCGTCGGTGGGAAACTTGCGCGGCGAGAGACAGGGGGATGGGGCGCTTTTGACGCGATTACGGGGTGCGGGCTGTCCTGTGGAGGATGTCCGGCCGAGCTCACCCTGCCCAGGTGCCGGATCCCCAGGCCAGGCTGCGGCCTGCGCTGGGCGTGTGGGGCGAGGCCACAGCGCCCCGACGCCGGGTGTGCGTGTGGGTGAAGCAGAGACTTGGGTCCCTCGGCGCTTGGGAGTCCCGCCGCCTAGGATCGGGAACCGCCTCCCACTCCCGGCCCGGCCCGGCCTGGGAGCCGTGTCCCGCGCTGACTTGGTGTAACTCTCCAGCTCATTTCTCTCCACGCGATTTACCATCTGTGAACTGGTCTTTAACCTAATAAAAATCATCTAGCTTTTGACTAACAAGAAAAGGAAACAGTGCTCATTGTGGGGTTTGGGGAAAATGGCTTCACTAATGTGCAGGATGAGAACGGAGTGATTTATAGGCGGTTTTAACTGTAGGCTATGATTAGGGGGCTGGTAGTAAGTGCATTAGATGTCTAAGTGTGGCAATAGAGTAAATAGGCGTTTTATTTATCGCAGTGCCAGGGGCCTCTTAGCGGAAGAGCGCTTCTCCAAATTGAAATATAGCAGAGTTTACACTCCTGATTAGGGCTTCAAGCGCAGAGCCCAAGGCTATCAGCTAAGCAGAAACAACGCTCGCTGACACCTAATTGTCACTGGATTAATGTGCAAACAGGGACAGCGAACAGCAACAACAAATAACCTAGTGTCAGAGCCGTTGGTGGCAGTGTCCACTCGCAGTGACTTGGGGCCAAATTGGAGTTTATATGTCAAAACAGGCTCAGATCAATGTGTTGGGCTCCTCCTGCAAGGGCTGGATGGAGTCGTGGCAGTTGTTGATCTATGTGTGTGTGTGGGCATATTATGTGCTGGGGAGTGGAGGAGAGCAGGCAGACGGAGGAGGTGAAATGCCTTTCCATTAATTTTTTTTTCTGCTTTGTGCGCCCGAATTCACAGCTATTAAGATAAATTTATGTGAATCAGGTCTTTCTCTCCAGGATCTTGTGACTTTCGCCTGTGTCTCCATATAAAATTTAATAACCTTGTTTGTGAATCAAATCATTCCCACAACAACAGATTCAATCTGGGTTGCCACCTGTCTGGCTTTGGACAGGAGCAACCGAATTGGGCAGCTGGGTTCCAGCCTTTCACGGGGGCTGGTGGTTGGTTGGCTGCCTGGCAGGTCCGTTTGCCCTGGGGTTTTCCGAAAGCAGGAGTAGATGCGGCTGACATCTGAAGGGGAAAGGGAGGACAGCCATCCATATTCCCTGAGACCCGCCTTTTCTTCCAGTGACCAAATTGGTGGCAGCCCTATTTAAAAAACACAAGAATTCATGAGAGTCTAAAGCAAATGGGGGAATAGGTTACCATCCAAGAAGTTCTTATGCTCACTCATTTTTCTTCTACAATTAGCCATTTAGGGAGGGAAAAAGTCACAAATACATGAATTATGTTCTTAAATGTATTTCTAAAGTTCTTAAGTTTTATTGAGCATGAAAGTTGGTCTTTCCCTGTGTTAAGAACTGAAGAAGCTATAGAACTAGCTAGTAGCTCAATGGTGCAAAGTCTTATGATTTAAACTTGACATTTGCAATTTTTTGCCGTAAAATATTACTTTCTTTATTTCAATACTTTAGTTGAAAACCTCGTAATTCCCTTTAAGCTCCATTTGATTGTCAATTGCACAACTCGCTCTAAAGCTTAGGGCTTATGATTTTCATACACACATAATTTATGCTTTTTGTGTCACAATATAAGGTACTTTGGTACAGCTCCCACTTATTTCTCTTGCATCAAGAGAGATTTTCCTTTTAGAGGCTGGAAGTTTTACAGTGAAGCTGTGAAAGAGTTGTGATCTGGCTGTATGTCTCGTTGAATTGTCCAAAATTGCCATATTTGCTGCGCTATACAAACTTCTGTGCCACTCCATTTAATATGTTTTCAGAAAATGGTGACATGGATATCTGCATATCTGGATAAAAGAATGAAATTAATTTCACGATTGAAAATTTCAATAGCTGGCTACAGAAAGATCATTCATTGCCTCAAGTATGGGTAGAGAGATAGCAGAGCCAGTGTTGGATGTTGCAAACACAGATTTCCTTTAGTCCATTTGTTGTCAGTAAATCGTGAAGCTGGATTTGCAATGGCAAAATCCCAGGTATGTTTTACTGGATCGATTCAATGCATTTTAGTTGTAAAACTCTAAGTTCATCCAAGCTGCTGATTAGAGCATAACGTTTAAGTTAATGCTATACACGAACAACAATACTTAAAAACACAAATGCCACAAAGAGATATTAAGCTTTCTGAAAAACCATATATTGTTATGGCAAATGTTGGAATTCATGCAGGAATTTTGTTGGTCCTAATTATTATACTTTGTAGATTTTACTTTGTTGTCTCCTAGAACTGGAAGGAAATTTAGAGATTATCATACTCTCTTTACAGCCCTCTTTACAGATGGAGGAACTGAGGCCCAGAACGGTTAAATGTTTTGCTTAAAGCCACACACACAATGAAATTTACCAAGTATTCCTCCTATTTGTCATTATTTCAGTCAAGCCATAAGCATTGTAAGTATATGAGAAAAACATCAGATGTTTTTGTTATACCTTGTCAATGTTAATTATTGAGGCATTTATAAACATTAACATTTTTCTGGCACAAAAAAAACCTTTTCAAATTCTTGATTTAAGAAGTAATTTTAAATGGGTGTTATTCTTTGATTACATATCTAGGAATTGTGAAACAATTACAAATATAAAGGAGTTTTCAGTATTTGAAAGTGTTGCCATGTCTTGGTTATTTGAGGTTAGGGTTATATTGTTTCTTTTCAAGTTTTCTGCTGCTTTTGTCTCCCACTCTCTCAGCTCTTTTGGCTTTTTGCCTTCTCCTCCCGGCTCTACAAGGAGAATACTGATTCAAAGGAGTGATTTTTATCATTGCTGATAAAAATTTCATGAAGAAAATAGGACAGAGCTAGCAGATAGAATGGAGTTTGATTATCATACTTCTCCTTGGCTCTCCCTGGCTATCAGTACAATGGGTAAGCAAGAAATAACCTAGTCTACAGAAGAAAAGGTAATATTTGGTAGGTTTTAAAAATAATTCTGCTGGAAAGTTATAGATTTATTTGTGTATGAATCAATCTTGGAATTCCTATGATTGCCTTTGAGGCATAAACTTCAGAATGTGTCTGAATTATTAAGCATCTACCTTGTTGGCGTAGCTAGGTTTTTAAGAGAACTTAAATTATGTTAACCAAGAAAAAATTAGCCCCTCCCTGCCCCAAGTTTAGGTGTGTCTGTTTAAATCCGGATCTAATCTGAAATTTCTGGTAATATGGTCAGACTCTGGGTAGCATTTGGTAGCTCTGGGAATTATAGTCACTCTAGTGAAATTGCTGAAATCTAAGCTGAGGACATCATTGGTGCTATAAATCTGGAGTCTCAGCTACAATGTACACTGACCAGATCCACTCACCTCCTCTCGGCTTCACCCTGAGTTCTTGGGAATTTCTTTTCTTTTTTTTTTTTTTCTTTTTTTTTTTTCTGAGTCGGTGTCTTGTTCTGTCGTCCAGGCTGGAGTGCAGTGGCACAATCTTGGCTCACTGTAACCTCTGCCTCCTGGGTTCAAGCGATTCTCCTGCCTCAGCCTTTTGAGTAGCTGGGACTACAGGCGCCTGCCACCAAGCCCAGCTAATTTTTGTATTTTTAGTAGATACGGGGTTTCACCATATCGGCCAGGCTGGTCTCGAACTCCTGACCTCACGATCCGCCCACCTCAGCCTCCCAAAGTGCTGGGATTACAGGCATGAGCTACTGTGCCCGGCCTTCTTGAGAATTTCATAACCAAACATTATATATATAAAAAAATAGTACTAGGTCTATAACTGGGTATTTTTGTATAATAAATGTTTTAAACACAATTCTGATTTTATAGACTAAAATGATTGTAAATAACTCTTAAAGGAAGAAAGAGAAGCTATTCAGGAATTATTTCCATGAAGGGAATATCATTTGTCCTGGGTACACAATTCCAGAAGTATTTGAGAGTGGCCAAAGCCATTTCGGAGAGAAGAACCAGGTGTTGAAGGGAAAAGATGGCTGATGTGGGACAGGTAGGAAGCATGGTTATGGTTGGTGCCCTAGAATCATATAGTGGGGTGGCCTTGAGCAAGTCATTGTCAAACAGCCATGTAGTTTCCTAACGTACAACCAAGGGACTAGGCACAGAATGTCTTAAGGTAACGTCCACAAGCCATTACGTCAGCATCTAATAAGCCCCTCCAAGGGATTCTAATGCACTCCAGAGTTTACAACACTTGAATCAAAGAACCTATGCATTTTCTTGTAAATGTGAGATTTTTAATCATTTACCCTTTAGCAATTTAAAGTCTATTACGGTTCATGGAAAAGACTTAAAGAGACACTGATCACTGATTTAAAATATTCCTCAGGACACAGGAAGACTTCATTAGACAAACTCTTCAAGAACTTTCTTCTTAGATTACACCTACCTCATGGAGAACTGCAATGGTTGTCCCTATTTGCTGTTTTGTTTTGTTTTGTTCTGTTTTTTGAGGTGAAGTCTCGGTCTGTCGCCCAGGCTGGAGTGCAATGGCGTGATCTTGGCTCACTGCAACCTCCACCACCCAGGTTCAAGCGATTCTCCTGCCTCAGCCTCCTGAGTAGCTGGGATTACAGGCACTCACCACCACGTCCAGCTGATTTTTGTATTTTTAATAGAGATGGGGTTTCATCATGTTGGCCAGGCTGGTCATGGACTCCTGACCCTAGATGATCCACCCACCTTGGCCTCCCAAAGTGCTAGGATTACAGGCATGAACCACCACGCCCAGCCCCTATTTGCTTTTTAAAGTTCTCTCTAACTTAAAAAACCACAATACTTTTCTGTAGTTAACAAAAAATTGTTTGTGGATTAAAAATACTGTAAGATATCCTCTTCCTAATTTTCTCAACTAGTTAAATTACCATGTTGCACCTTTGAGAAGTAGCATGATTTCATCTACATAGTAATGCAATTTTATGAACTTTTTGTATTTTAACTTTTGAAATGAAATGAAAACCAAAATATTCCAAATTAATATTCTTTAGGATTGTGCAGGAAGCCCAGTTTTTTTTTTGTTTTTTTTTTTTTTTTGAGAAGGAATCTCACTCTGTTGCCCAGGCTGGAGTGCTGTGGCGCGATCTTGGCTCACTGCAAGCTCTGCCTCCTGAGTTCACCCCATTCTGCCGTCTCAGCCTCCCAAGTAGCTGGGATTACAGACGCCTGCCACCACGTCTGGCTAATTTTTTGTATTTTTAGTAGAGATGGGGTTTCTCCATGTTGGTCAGGCTGGTCTTAAACTCCCAACCTCAGCTGATCTGCCTGCCTTGGCATCCCAAAGTGCTGGGATTATAGGCGCCCGCCACCATGCCCATCTAATTTTTTTTTTTTTTGTATTTTTAGTAGAGATGGGGTTTCACAGTGTTAGCCAGGATGGTCTCGATCTCCTGACGTCATGACACGCCCCGGCCTCCCCAGTGCTGGGATTACAGGCATGAGCCACCATGCCCAGCCAAGAAGCCCAGTTCTTTAACATCATAAAACGATATGCATCTATGTATATTCCGTATATTTAAACATAATTAAAGGCAGACAAGTTATACTATATCCCAAACATGCTGACATGGTTTGGCTCTGTGTCTTCACTCAAACCTCATCTCATATTGTGATCCCCGGGTGTCATGGGAGGGACCTGGTGGAAGGTGATTGGATCATGGGGGTGGTTTCCCCCATGTTGTTCTCATAATAGTGAGGGAGTTCTCATGAGATCTGATGGTTTTTTCGAAAATGACGGTTCCCCCTGCATGCTTTCTCTCTCCTGCCACCTTGTGAAGAAGGTGCCTGCTTCCCCTTTGCCTTCTGCCATGATTGTAAGTTTCCTGAGGCTTCCCCAGCCATGCTTCCTGTATAGCCTGTGGAACTGTGAGCCAATTAAACATCTTTTCTTTGTAAATTACCCACGCTCAGGTAGTATCTTTATAGTAGTGTGAAAATGTACTAACACACATGCATATTATTCTTTGGCAAGCCAATTATAGAAATCACTTTTTTTCTACCCCAGTGCCCTAGAGCTAATTCCATTTTCATTTTATAAATGAATCCATAGGCATTTCCTGCATGGGGGCTACAAGGTTTTTCAGGCTCAATGTGTATCAGTTTGTGTCCCTGCATGGTTAAAATAAAAGCAAAAGTACGTAGTAAGCAGTAAGTTCCTTCTCCCATCATGTTTAATACTGGTCATGGAGGAACAATATATTGTGTGCTTTCTGTATATATACACTCCTTGTAAGGTAGGAGTCTCCCCCCTTACTTAAAGGGAAGTTTTTCTGAGAGCACATCTTTTTAATGGTATTCTTTCCCCTTCTTGGTGAGGGACTATTGATTGAGTGGACACCGCTTACTGTAGCTGTTCTGAGCTGCCAGCAGCAGGGTTTCCTGTGATTGATTTTATATAGCACCTTTTCTACTTGAGAAATCCCAAAGCACTTAACAAAGCAGGGAGTGAGTTTGATGCTGATAGTGATGGCGTAGGCAAACACTGGCAGTGGCACGAACCAGCGGCGGCTCACATTGCTTCAGATTCCCGACTCCAGAGAGCTGGCAGCCAGGTCGCCACCATTCCCTCTGGTCTGCCTAGAATCTCCAGACTGGAAAGGACATCTAGCTGTCCTTGAGGATATTCCTTGACCTCCATCCACCCTGACCAGCCCCTAAGCCACTCAAGATAGATAAGATTGGCCCCTGTTGGTGGCTTCAGAGGAGTCATTTACTCTTGAATCCTTTATTTCCTCATGGGTTCCATATGGTAGGTCGATTTGGTGTCCTGTCCAGTCAGCAGTTCTAAGATTCTATTTCCTGATTTTTAAAAATTTTTTGTTTTTCAGAGACAGGGTCTTGCTCTGTCACCCAGTCTGGAGTTCAGTGGCATGATCATAGCTCACTGTAGCCTTGAACTCCGGGACTCAATCCATCCTCCTGCCTCAGCCTCCTGAGTAGCTAGGACTATTGGCAAGTGCCCCCACACCTGGCTCATTTTTTACTTTTTGTAAAGACAGGATCTTCCGCTGTTGACCAGGCTGGTCTCAAACTCCAGGACTCAAGTAATCCTTCTGCCTCGGCCTCCCAAAGTGCTGAGATTACAGGTGTGAGTCACCACACCCAGCCAATTTCCAGGGTATTTTTTGAGTCTCGAGGAGGTGCAGGCTCAAAAGTAGATTGTGCCGGGCATCTGCTCTGGAGACAGAATACTCCTTGGTTGACTTTAGTACTAGATAAGTGCAAAAACAAGCAAGAGGGCATCTGCAGAAATGCATGATGTGTTTGCCCTCAGAAGGAGCGTACATTGCTTACTTCTTTGACACCTAGCACAGTGCTAACACATAATAACCCCTCAATAAATGTTTGTTGAATAGATGTGTAAAAATGAAAAGTGTCCTTTCAGTGTCAGAGAAGGACAGATTTCAGTCCAGAATTGGGGGGTGCTCAGGGCCTAGCATTGTCTACTTTAGCAATAAGCATGCAAAATTAGCCAGCCCTGTCCCCATAGAGGCAGCAAAAATGGGACAAAAATAATGGTCTTTTTTCTCCGGTCCTTTTCTACCTCGTTTTGATGCCAAAGTGAAGCTGCTTGTTTCATCTGCAGGTTGGGGTGAGGAAAGAAGGAGCAAATTGATAAGGTAAAAAGAATGAACGTTAAGCTCAGAAGCGTGATCTGTTAACCTCCGGTAAAAATGAATTGGAGGGAGGAGAGATGGGGAAAGTCTCCCGGGGGGGAAGGAGAGACCTCACCTCTTTGAGTAGGTCTTGAAGCAACAAGGAACCTGTCATTGAAGGAACAGAAAGAAGGCCATATGATTCTTCTTAGGATCTGGACTATTCTTGCCCTCATCTTCATAGATGTGAACTTCCTTAGTGTCTCTAGCAAGGAGCAGCAGGATAACTGGGGAGGGAGAGAAGGAGAAAGTCACGCTGAGACCGCTGGGCTCATACACGCCCTTGTACCCCATGGGAGGAGAGCAGTGGCAGTTGTGAGGTGACTCTGGAGGAAGAGTTGGCAGGTCACATCCTCTGGCTCCAGCTGAACTGATACCCAGACGTCTGGCGTGTCATGCATCTGATCACCCAGTTAGCTTGCTCAAAAGAGGTGAGGAACACCCAAATTAAAATGTGTGCATTCGTCTTCACCTGTGGTTTCTTTTCTTTATATGTATGGCCATAGCTTTTAAATTCATTTTCAAGTAAATAACTTACTTTTGTTTTACACAGTACATTGAACTATCAAGTGTCCTTGGCTCTTCAAATAACCCACAGAGGCCCACAGTATTTTTGTCCTCATTTTACAGATGAAAAAGCTGAGGCCCAGAGAGGATAAGTGACTTGCCCAAGGTCACACAGCAAGCAAACGGTGGAGCTGGAATTCAAACCCAGGTTACTACAGGCCACATCTCACTCACTGTCCACTGTGCCTTGCTTTCTCCATCTCGAACAGAAAAAAAAATTATAAATCCTGATTCAAAAGAGAAACTGTATTGTTATGACACTCCAGCATTTGAACAATTAAGTTATGTTTATATTTTCCTTTTGAGCTCAGACCACACAGCCACAGCCAGCTGGCTTACTACCCTAGGCTATTAACTAACACACACCACTTTTTATTTCATGGCCTTCTTTTTAGGAACAGGAATAAACACGTGTGATTTTTGCCCATAACGTTCACGGCTACTTGTATTGACTCTACTTGGGGCATCCTTGACACTTTGGTAACCCCATCTCTGGGATGAGAGGGCTGGGCTGGGCTGAACCAATGTGATCCAAGGCTCCTTTCAGCACCGACAGCCTATGACAGCAAGCTGGTGAGAGTCCACTGACCTGCAGCTAAAGAAAGAGGCAAACTGGGGTGGGCACAGCTGGCGACTCAGTTCAGATCCACGCTGGCTTACTGGGAGAGATGATGGTAGGCACTGGTTTGAAGCTGGGCACACAAACTCACACAGGGCATAGTTCTTGCCCTCCAGGGGTATGGAGTCTAGTGAAACCTTCCCAAAGGAGCCTGCATGATTGGCAGTTACTGCTCACATGTTTACCTTGTATTGGTGAATTTTGCGATGTGTCCCTTGCACAATATGAGTAATTTAAAATATATCTATATGTGATTAATTCTTCCTTCTATCCAATGGGGAAAAAGCCCTATTTAAATAGATGGATGGACATTGAGTGGGTGTCTCTGTGTCCCAATAGGGTGAGCACATTCTACCCTTAAACAGATGCACATTGCATCCTTGGAAAGCTGTGACGGACAACTCCAGAGGTTTGCACTGTTAGGAAGCACACCTTGGAAATACCACACAAGGAGAGTAGGGCCTCTGGTGTTTCTGACTGACATGAGTGAACTGAAGAAGAACCTGATTAAGGGAAACAGGGCCCTCCTCGAGAGATTGAGGGGAGCATGGATCACACGGCAGTTTTGTTTGGAAGAAAAGCCGGTCAAAGCCACAGGGAGTCCTTGTAAGGCCAAAGGAGAGAAAGTTGTTCCCTTGGAGAGAGTGGCATTTTGGAAAACTGAAAATCACTTCAGTAATATTGTATATGAGAATCTTTGTAACCAAAAAGAAATGCAATAAATCTCTCAGTTTGAAGCCTTCTTCAATATTTTACAAATCACACAATCATCTCCAGCTTTGGGCACAAAGAAAAATCCACATGACAAACCTTACGGAACATTAGCAATATCAAGATAAGCTACATCTGCAGAATACCAATGAAATTATCCCTACCTGCTGCTGGTGTTTTCAAAACTGTGAGGCGGAGGGTCCATCTCTTTTTTCCTGTTAAAAATGGAAATCGGTGCTTGAGTATTCCACGAAGTTCTTCAGGTTCATTAACAAGGTCAAAATCAATGTTATTTTACTGTTTGGAATCATTTTTGGCGGAACAATGAAAAGAAACCATAGTAGAAGTAGTCTTAATATAATCATTTTCTTTTCATTGTTCTTTATGGGAAAATAATTTGGCCCGAAATTTAGTGGTCCCATCAGGGAGGTGATATCTTTAAAAAGGTGGTCTGAAGGACAGGTTTTACTGTACTTTAATAGGCTTATAGATTAGTATAAATCTTAATATTCATAATCTTTACCATTTCTTTTCTCAATATCTGCTCCATCTATACATCTATTTATAATGTATGTTTCAAACACAAGATATACTTGATTTTTATTAAATATACTGATGGTGCTATGGGGACAGCCACTTGACCTAGTTAAAGAAAGAAAAAAGAGCCAGGGGGTCAAATTTATGGATAGTCTGCTGCTGAAAACAGATTTTTGCAGATAATACAATGGCCTGAAAGCAGGGCTGTCTTTGCAAATTTGCCATGTGCTATTATTTGTGTATGGCCAGGTAGGTAAAATAAATATATTGGGTGCCAAATGTGAGCTGCAGATGATCATGATGAAATGTGGACTTCTCACCTGACAGCTTGATTTTTCTAATCTAAACATGGAACATTTTCAACCTACATATGCTCACAAAAGAACATCACAGTGATAACAACACAGGAAATACTTACTGGACAGAAAAGAAAATGTGTAGATATGCAATGCTTGGCAAGAATAAAGAAATATGTGCTAATTTATTTTAATGTGGTTATTTAAAGGGAACATTATATAAGCAATTTTGATTTTATTTTGATTCTGAGATTCCTTGTTTGCCTGTCAGCTTATTATGTTACAAACACTGAAGAAATTAATGAATTGTAGATGTGTACAACATTGATATATTATGTACAAATATGTACACATGTATATATATATTTTACTGATTATTAAAAGTAATACATCCTTAATATAGAAAATCTACAAAATATGAGGCAAAAACCAAAATACTCACCTCCCAGAGATAATCATGTTAACATTTTCTCTCCTCTGTTTTGTTTTACATAGTTTAGAGGATCCTGTATGTATAAAATTGAATACGGGTTTATTAAATTCCATTGTAGGATCCTAGAACTTACTTCACTATTTCCTATAATTGGATGTTTGTATGGTTTCCTGTTTTTTCCTATTATAAATATAAAAGATACACATCTTTTATATAAACCTTTGTTGGCATTTCACATAACTGCCCCAGGAGCTAGTCCCAGAGACGGAATTAATGAATTAAGTAGAATAACATTTTTAAGGCTTTTGATACCTATTGCCAACCACTTTCCACAAAGCTTAGGCCAATTTACAGTGTAAGCTTATTTTAATCAGAGTTGATGTACTTTGCCCACACGAAGAAAAGGCTGTAGTTTCAGGTTTCCAAAGCAGTGATGTCCTGTGGTTGGTAATGACGTTCCTTTGTGGTTGCCCTGAGGAAGATGTGAAGAAGTGTTGCAGAGGCCTATTTGTCTGCTGTTACGGAGTGCTAGTTCTTCTGGTTAATTCACATAAAGGTTTTCTTCTTCTTCTTCTTCTTCTTCTTCTTCTTCTTCTTCTTCTTCTTCTTCTTCTGCTTTTCTTTATTTTTTTAGAGTATGTGGTCCTCAGAAATAGTATTTAATGTTTTAAACATTAATATTAATTGAAAAAGGAGAGAACTTAAATAATGGCCTATATATTTTCTTTGCCTTTGTATATGTATATTTGTGGTAATGAGAAAAAAACCTGGAATTTATTATTAGAAAAATGGGTCTATAAAAGTATTTATGCTTTTTTGCCCACTCAACTTCCAGCTTTACTGACTTTAAATATTTTGTCCTCAGTACCTCAGTCCTCTGAGGTATTTGGCTGTGTGCAGAATGTCACATTCCTGTCCACTCTGTTGATAAGGATGTGGCTTTGTGCCTGTGGATGCCTGTGTGCAGAGGCTGGGCTCTCTGAAGGCAAAAAGCAGTCACTGACTCTGTGGCTGCTCCCTCGTGATCCCTGTATCCTACACACACTGGTTTCCCACCACCAGCTGTCTGGTGACAATGTGTCTACTGCGCTTGAACTGTTTAAATCCAGGGTATCATTAGGACACTGTCAGTTACTCCAAGATTCAACAGTATGGGTATGCGTGCTTTGGACATAGTAGGAATCATGTAAACGAAGGAAAGCAAGAAGGCAGGGTAGACACACAGCCCCATTCACACTTAAATGCAAGGCCAAGGAGTGGGGGTTGTTTTCCGATGAATCTTTCAGTTTCTGCTAGTGTGTGGCTATCTATCATCATTCTAAGTGGCAGTGCAGGGATCTTCTTTGCTTTCCGGCTTTCTAATTGGCAACTAAATCCTATTTCTGAAAAGCAAAAATAGATGTTGCAAACAGGTATCTTTCTTTGGGTTGCCTTGGTCACCTTTAGAGTGCCTTTTCACAGGAAGAAGGAGAGAATGAAAGTTCTTTTGCTGAAGAGGAGTTTCCTTCTCAGAACTTCTCAGAACATTGACCATGACTGCTCATGGCTAATCCTGGCTCCTTTGCCCTACAGGGAAACACTGAGAAAAGCCTGAGAACTCAGGACTGGGGACAGGCTCTAGAGGAAACTAACCCACCTTCAGTGAGGCTTGCTTTTGTCCAGACCCAGCCTATTTAGTACATTAGTAACCTTATTTTATTCAAAATAGAGCGTCTCACTATATTTCAAAGTGGTTTACAACTCTGTATAAAATAGAACATCTTTACTAGGGGATGGTGGAACATAAACAGTAGAAACACAAATATTAATACTACCTTCACAATGCATGCCTTACAAAAGATGTTTGCTTAGTTTTGTTATATATATAAACATATTTAGCTACCAACTTTACTGTCACTGTGGAAAATTGCATAAACCAATATATGTAAGTGAATAATTTTACATATAGTTAGTGTCTTTTCTGATTAAGAGAGTCTTTTAAAGAATATATTAATTATGCATCTTATGTATCCTATGTGGCTAAAGCAGCTCTGTGAATAGAGACCTGCCAGTTGTTTTGTTAAAATAACAGAGTGCAGCTGTGATTTAAAAAAAAAAAAAAAAAAAAAAGAATGAATACAGCCTATCTGGAAGAGCTATTTTTATTTTTAAAAGGTCGGGGAGGAGGAATCAAGAGTTAATGTTTTAGTTTGCAAATATAAGAGTTTTGGGGGAGAGTATCAGGTCAGGCAAATGTGTGGGCCACAATGGAATGAAGGTTACCTATGTGCTAAAATGTTTCCAGACTCGGACTTTCCAAGTGAGTGGTAGATATGCGTGGGAAAGTCACCCTTGAAACCAAAGAGGGGAGGATGCACACCAAAAGAGAATCTGGTTTTTACATTGTAGTTGTAATGGCAACAATCACTGTTGCCAAATGTAAACTTCTTAGGTTTGTAAAACCCCAATTATCACCACTCTCCATAGATAAAAATGTACATTTGAAGGAAATAGTTTTACAATCGAACTAGAGATTGTCCTTGCCTCTCAGAAACAAAACGGAATGTTATCTGTCCAAGAAAAAACACTCTTTGAAAGTGCTTTCCTGAATCGTGTTGAGTCTTCAGTGTGTCAGTGGGCAGGTCCCGGCTGTGTTCTCAGCTTTGTGGTCTCCTCCCGGCCTCTGGGGGTGGCTTTGAATGGGACGGCTTCACAAAATCTGCATGAAAATTGGGAATTGTCAAAGTAATTTGCCATTTACTGACTTGCTCTCTATGCCTTTTGTGTTTTGATCAATAAAAACTTAAATCCTTTACCCAGTTTAGTAACAACCTATTCTAAAGCATTATATTCCCCCTAATGTTTTTCGAGTTCTGGTTGTACAGTTATCCATTTTCAATGATATTCATTTTAAAAGGTTAACAAACGAGAAACTAAACCAACCATACAAATAACAGCCCAAAGAACACTTTCCAAAATGTGTTGCTGTAGTGCCATTTCAAATTTAATATTCATGCAGAGGAAAGCTAAAGGCCACCAAACCAGGTGGATAAAATAGTACTGCATTTTATGACTCATTCTTAAATGAAATCTCTTAAATATTGCTAATGAAGCCGGCTCCCCCGCCACAGCCTTGGCGGGCGCCCTTTCGAGCTGCTTCAGTTCCATTTCCCTGTCTAGCAATTTGCCCCAGGCCCCTATTAAATGAATTATCACGGCCCCTAAATCATCTCTGCGGGGGTTTCCTCTAATCCCATCAAGACACTTACACTCCCTTTCTTCCCTCCTGGTGACATAATGAATGATTATTTCATGGGGAGCCGTTAAAGAGGCCCCTCTGGAAGAGGGGAATGCGCGCGGCCCGGGGCGGAGGCGCGGGCTGGGCCACGGGGAGGCCGGGTAGGCACCAGCGCCGCCTCGGGCTGACGGGGACAAAGAGGCCATGCGGCCACCAGCTGCCCTCCTGGCCGCCCGAGGTGGGGGTCTCCGCGAGCGGCGGGCCGAGAGCCTCCCGCTCCAGGCCTCCCGGTGCGCCCGGCCCGGGTAGCGACTTCGGGAGCCCAGGAACGCAGGGCAACGAGAGAGAATATAAATGTTTTCCTTAACCAGAGGAAACACTGCACTCACAAACCACTTGCGGAATAGATTAAGCTAATTTATTAAACACAGTTTGCCTGGTGACTGAGCTGAGCTGAGTAATGATTTACAATTAAAAAAAAAATTAATAAGAGAAAGTCAGGGGCCACCGTGGCCCTAATCATGGGGCCATGTCAGCTCCGACGAGGCTGGGGCGCGCGCCCTGGCCCTGGGTTTGGGACCAAGGGTGGCCTTAGGCCTGCGGCATTGGTGAAGCTTCGCAGCCTTTGTGGAGCCCAGACCCCCAGCTCCGGGCAAGTGGCGTCCAGAAGAGAGCTGGCCCCTGGGCGGGGAGCCACCTCCAGGGAGTCAGGCAGAAGGACCCTCTTCCCCAGAGGAAGGGGTGGTTTGGGGTGTGTGTGTGTGTGTGTGTGTGTGTGTGTGTGTGTGTGTGTTTTACAAGTTGTTTCTGAGGCTCTCAGACCTCTCTTCGCATACCAGTGCTGGGTCTTCTGACAGTGAAGTAACGTAGAACAGTTTCCAGGAAATTTTGGAAATTAAACTCTAGGACACGAGTCTTGAGCAGCGATTCTCAACAGCGTTGGGTGCCAGCAACCCTGGTTTTATAATAAATCCTTCCTAATGCCCAGCGCGGTGGCTCACGCCTGTAATCCCAGCTCTTTGGGAGGCTAAGGTGGGAGGATCTCTTGAGCCCAGGGGTTCCAGACCAGCCTGGGCAAAACAGTGAGATCCCGTCTCTACCCAAAAAATACAAAAATTAGCTGGGCATAGTGATGCAAGCCTGTAGTCCCTGCTACTCAGGAGGCTGAGTCAGGAGGATCACTTGAGCCTGAGAGGTCAAGGCTGCAGTGAGACGTGATTATGCCATTGCACTCCAGCCTGAGCAACACAGTGAGATCGTGTCAAAAAAAAAAAAAAAAAAAAAAAAAAAGAAGAAAGTTGTAATATCTTTTACTATTCCAAATAAAAATATGGAATAATATATCCTACATGTGACTTAGAAAAAGAGAAGATAGAAGGAAGAAAACAAAGAAAGGCAAAAACATAAGGGCCTAACTATAAACAAGAACACATAAGGTATAATATAACAAAAATATAGTATAATACATGTTTCAGTGGGTACATGCTCCATCACAACAACTAAGGAATGAAGTAATCAAATAATCTCACGCCTTTTTTTTTTTTTTTTTTTTTTTTTTGACAGGCTCTCACTCTACTGCTCAGGCTGGAGTGCAGTGGTGTCATCTTGGCTCACTGCAGCCTCGATCTTTGTGGGCTCAAGTGATCCTTCCACCTGAGCCTCCTGAGTAGCTGGGACTACAGGCACGTGCCACCATGCCCAGTTAATTTTTGTATTTTTTTGTAAAGATGGGGTTTTGCAATGTTGCCCAGGCTAATCTTGAACTCCTGAGCTCAAGTGATCCTCCTGCTCAGCCTCCCAAAGTGCTGGGATTATAGATGATCACATCACTTTATAACAAATGTTGATTTAAGAGAAAGCTTTCAGTTGATTGTTGTTGACTCTTTTTCTTTATAAGCAACATTATGAAATAAGGGCTAAATAAGGCTATTTACTCACACATGTAAAATCATCCAAATGTGACAGCTATGATTGGGAGAACACAAAGCCCGAGAGCTACATTGCATTGTTGTCCATAACATGGTTTTCCAAAATGGTGAGCAACTCTCAGTCAGGTTCCAGACAAAACTGTGTACGTGGTAGTTGTATTCCTGGAAAATTTAATGTACATTAAAACTAGGTAAAAACACTTTGTGCTCATATGAAAAATGGAGCTAGAGATAATTATCAAAGGCTTTTTCACTTACATGAATATCTGATGGAACATTGGAATGTGTTCTGAAGGACCTGGAACAATTGTTTGAGTGCCAATGCACTGCCTTTTTGAGGTGGACCTACCCCCTTTGAAACTCGCTGGTCTAGAACATTGGTTTCTAAATTCTTTGCTTTATGGAGAGCAGAACATTTTACATATGACATTAGAGGGTTTGCAGGCCTCTTAAAACCCATTCATAGACCCCCTATCAAGTCTATGTATTCTGAATTCTAAACCCTTTTGTACAGCAGAAATTGAAGGGCTAGAATCATAGAATAGGATAGAACCTTACCTGGATCCTCTGAGGAAAATCAGCTCATCCAGAGTCTGAAGAAGACTATATTCAAATTTTGAGTTTATTTGGTTATTGCAGGAAATTAGTCACTTTCTAGTGGAAACTAAATTACTTTAGTCTTTAAGGCGGTCCTAACACATTGTTTACTTCTACTCAACTTGTGATCAATAAAAATCCTAAATCTATTCTACTTGTTCTGGCTAAAAATGTTTGACCTTTGTACTTAGGCAGATAATTTTTTATATTGAAGTGTAGGGCTTTACATTAGTACCTATTAAATGCCTTCTTGTTGAAGATGACCCTTTATCCCGGCCTTGTCTAGATGTTTTTAGATACCAATTTTGTCTTTGAATTCATAAGCTTTCCTTTCTAGTTCTCTGTCACCTGCATGTCAAAATGTTATAATTAATTATAAAAAGGAAAACTGAGATAGAGGCCTCTTTTGCCAATGCTATGTCACTAGTAATAATAGGAATATGTTAACTTTCTAGTGTATATAGGAAAAGTCCCATTAGTTTGGTGTGTATATCATTGCATATTTAGAGCTGAAAAAATAAGGCAGTGTGCATTGTAATGGCACTTCCTTTTATGTTGTCAGAAATGTTTGATTTTTATTTAATTAATTTATTTATTTTGAGATGGAATCTCACACTGTTGCTAAGGCTGGAGTGCAGTGGTGTGATCTTGGCTTACTGCAACCTTCACTACCTGAGTTCAAATGATTCTCCTGCCTCAGCCTCCCGAGTAGCTGGGATTACAGGTGTGTGCCACTACACCCAGCTAATTTTTGTATTTTTTTGGTAGAGATAGAGTTTTATCATGTTGGCCAGACTGGTCTTGAACTCCTGACCTCAAGTGATCCACCCACCTAGGCCTCCCAACGTGTTGGAATTACAGGTGCGAGACACCATGCCCAGCCTGATTTTTATTTTAAAAGTCTTTTTTTTAGAAGATTGCTCTTCCCCACTCTCAATGCTGGGATTTTGTCAATTCTAAAAATAATATTGTACCAAATTTAAGTATGTTTTATAAGAAGTTTTCCACAACCCTGCCATTTTAACATAACTGTTTTTATTTCTCCATGTTTCCTTCCACAGCTTCTACTTTTTGTTTAGGCTTTTACGTATTGCATGCCCAATTTTCTACGACTCTTTTTTTTTTTTTTTTTTGAGACGGAGTCTGGCTCTGTCGCCCAGGCTGGAGTGCAGTGGCGCGATCTCAGCTCACTGCAAGCTCCGCCTCCCGGGTTCCCGCCATTCTCCTGCCTCAGCCTCCTGAGTAGCTGGGACCACAGGCGCCGCCACCTCGCCCGGCTAATTTTTTGTGTTTTTAGTAGAGACGGGGTTTCGCCGTGTTAGCCAGGATGGTCTCGATCTCCTGACCTTGTGATCCGCCCGTCTCGGCCTCCCAAAGTGCTGGGATTACAGGCGTGAGCCACCACGCCCGGCCTTTCTACGACTCTTTCTAGTTCTCTGTTAGAAATGGGTGTTAGCCTGGATTTATTCTTAAGCACATGCAATTGAACTAAAACAAGCAACCGAGCATCTTCCATACAGCTTTGCCTAAGTGGGCTGACAAGCGGGCTGAAATCTTTGTAGGCCTTACAGAAAGTGATCACTATAGAAAGGAGGTAGAACTGTCACGTGAACTTAGCAGCTCACTTTTTAAAGAATCATCAAACATCGACATAAGTCAGAAGCCTATGGGAGGCAATGGGGTCTTGAGCTGCGATTTAGAAAGCCCTGAAGTTGTGATTTGGAACATTTTTGTTTAGGGAGCACAGTTGAAAGTCTGTGTCTTCAGTTCTGCTCAAGAACAGGGTGAGGGGGTAGGAAAGGGTGGTAGAGAGGGCGTTTTGATTCATTTTTGGTTTTGGAGGGTGCTGGGACAGTTGGGGAAATCACCTCCTCATTAGAAGCCCTTTACAGGCAGAGCACAGTGGCTCATGCCTGTAATCCCAGTACTTTGGGAGGTTGAGGTGGGCGGATCACCTGAGTTCAGGAGTTCGAGACCAGACTGGCCAACATGGTGAAAACCCGTCTCTATTAAAAAATATATATATACAAAAATTAGCCAGGCATGGGGGCGTGTGCCTGTAATCCCAGCTACTCAGGAGGCTGAGGCAGGAGAATCACTTGAACCTGGGAAGCAGAGGTTGCAGTGAGCCGAGATCGCACCATTGCACTACAGCCTGGGTGACAGAGTGAAACTCCGTCTCAAAAAAAAAAAAAAAAGCCTTTTACTTCTATTCATCTCCCCTTGGAACTTTCTTCAGGACCCAGGTGGGTGGCTACAGCCTAGAGATGCTTGTCCACAGCCCAAGGAAGTCTAAGCTAAAAGTTTCATTTACAATTTATACCTGCTTTTCTATCCTCTTATGCTGAGTGTTTTATAGAACATCTTCTCTGCAAATATCCTTTATCTTTTAGAAAATTGATAATAATGGTGGCTATTATTTATTGGGCATCTAGTATATGCCAGGCAGTGTATACTTATATTATTATGCTTCACAACAATACTACGAGATAGGAGTCATTATGTCATTTTCACAGTCCAAGGTCATGTCACTATATAACATTCTGTGTCTGTTTAAGGCTATATAAATTTGAACAATATAAAATAACA